ACAAACCCAAGCAAACACCCCCCCCCAAATCCAATGCTAAGTATTTAACAATAGCAAAATCTATCTTTTGTTAATATATTAGAAAGTTGAAAACGTGAGAGTAAATTCTGTCCAAATTCAGTTAGAATCTTATTCTCCTTCACTTTTTATTTCCAACAGCAAAATTAATCTCTGGTTCAGATCCCTTGTGCTGACTTGTGTTTTAAAGAGTGCTTAAGGACAAAAATGAAGTAAGAAAGGCGGCTGCTGCAGTCAGTGATGTGGTAATGGTGATTCCAGAAAGAACTTACGACAAATATGCTATGGAGGATTTTTATGAAGAAAAGCAGCTACGTTTAAAGAGGAAAAGGAGGGATAATGGTGACAGAAATCCTCAGGTCCCTAAACCACGAGAACCTATAAAAATATCCAGGCACCTTGGGCACCTGGGTGGCTCAGTCTGTTAAATGTCCAACTTGGGCTCAGGTCATGATCTCAGGCTTCTTGGGTTAGAGCCTCGAGTTGGGCTCTGCTCTGACAGCTCAGAGCCCGGAGCCTGCTTCAGATTCTGTGTCTCCCTCTCTCTCTCTGCCCCTCCCCGGCTTGTACTCTCTCTCTCTGTCTCTCAAAAATCAATAAACATTAAAAAAAAAAAAAAAAAAAATCCAGGCACCTCAAGCCCTAACATCGGAATAGTCCTACAACTGAAGCGCTATCAGATTCAAAAGAGTCTGAAAAGAGTCTGGAGAGAGGAGTCAGGGAGAAGGGGCCCTCAGTTTTGACAAGGCCAGCAGGTGCCACAAACCGGATGCCCAGGAGAGCCGGCTCAGTGGGACTGCCCGGCCCCACCCCGCAATGACAGGACCGGCGGGTATGGTTGAAGGGCTTCCAGGACTTGGGCTGACTGACCGCAACACCCCAGCCAGAGTCTCCACCATGTCCCTCAAACATGGACTGTGCAAGCCCAACTCTTCAGACTAAGAAGGCCCTTTCTGGGGCACTCCATAACTCCGAAGCCAGGAAGATTTCACTGTAACTCCAACGTAGGCCGGCAGCGAAGGCGCGCTCTGTACCCTGGGAATTGTAGTCCTCAGAAACCTCATACTCACGTTGGAGCAAGTGACCTACTTTCTGTGTACACTACACTTCCCTGCGTGCTTTGCAAAGGTTCAGCCAGCTAATCACGCATGCCCGGTAAGGGGAGCTGGCCGAGGTCCCGAGAACCAAGGAAAAGTTTCCGATGCACATGCGCGCTGTGGCGGACCCCCCCCCCCACCCCGCCCACCGCCTAATACATTTTATATAAATTCTACCCATAAGGCCTACTCCTCGTATTGTACCACCCCACTGAATTCGCGTCTTGGCCTCAAGTAAGGCTGAATTCTCCCCACCCCTTCCTCTTTTTCTTCACTGCCTCTCATGACTGTTGAATTAAAGATCTCCTAGTGAGTTTTTTTCTGGGTGAAGGCGGTGGGTGGGACAGATAAAGGTCACCCCTCCCGGGGCCGGCGGCCCGGCCCCCCCCCGCGCCTCACCCAACACTGCCACTTAATCTGTATTCCTTGGGCTGGGTGGTCTCCTTCTGGAGTTGCTGTAGGGACAGTGAATTCAAAAAGAAAAAAAAAAGCCTTTTCACTTAATGCCCAGCGGGCTCAGCTCCAGGACCTCCAGAGCCAGGGAAGGCAGGAACTAAACCCAGTTCTCCCGTCCTCTCAGCCAAAGAAATTCCCAGTTAAGCTGCGGGGAGGAGCCGGGCCGACAATCAAAAGGCCCCAAGCCAGCAGGGCCCAAGCCTCACCCCTCTTTTAATCCAACTCAGAGTAACTAGACCCAGCTAGGGAAATGGGAAAAGGTTCCTGGGCAGGAAAGGAAAAACCGTACATCTGACACTTGAACAACATATTCTAATACTTGAAATTGTTTGTGAGTCCCCTCCCATTGCAAGGCCTGCTCTATGACCAGACTTACCAGATCCTCGGCAAAGCTCCCCAACAGTGTTAAACCTCCCTAATCCTCCCTCCCACACAAGCTTCTTTCTCCCACTGCTTAAGAGGGGGATGGGGCAGGCGCCCAAGAAAGAAATAGCAGTGCTTTTCTGCTGGAAAATCAAAGATGAGGGACTCACTCCCAGGGTAGGGTGGACAGGAAGGAGAAAAAGAAAGGTTAAGATACTGAGCAGGCACCCAAGAACCCCTTCGCTGGTCCAACCTGAAGCCTACTTTGTAGGGTTCTGGTTCTTCTGCGGGGTGGGAAAAGCCCTGCCAGCTGCCCCTCCTCCCCCCACCTCTCTGTTCAAGGGCACAGTCCATCCTCTGGACACGAGGGGAAGGAGCTTAAAAGTAGGGCTCTTCCTCCCAGGTTCCTCACCAGGATCAATCAGAATCCACTCACTTGGTATTGCTGTAAAGGTACTTACCCCCTCCCTGCACAGTTTTCCCTTAAAACACTAAAGAGGATAAAGAGCTCAGGCCAAAATGGTGAATTCTGGTTCAGCGGCCAGGAGAGTCACCACTGACCGGTCCAAAAGGGGATGTCCACCTTCCACCTCTCGGCTCCACAGGCCCAGAAATAAACCCTATTAATTATGACCACCCCCTTCCCCACACACGGGACAAGAAGCAGAAAAACAAGGCCTGGGTCCCCTTCTTTCCTGATTCATTTAATGGTGGCGGAAGTTGTTTGGGGGGGGGGGGGAGATCAAGGAAAAATCTACCGCGTCTCTACGATATGAAGAACTGAGGGAGGCGGAGAGGGGAGGAAATGCACCCCACCCAGGAGGGGGCCACACTCCGAACCTAGAGAACCTAGAGAGGAGCACCGGGGGAAACGGGGCGGGGGGGGGGGGGAGGTGGTTCTACAGGGGAGGTGGAAGGAGAAAGGAAAATGTTGGCCAGTCGTCAGGGTGGGGGCGCGACAGCAACGTGCAGCGTCCAGCAAAGCGAAGAGCGGAGTGGGACCGAGGTGAAGGAAGGCGTCTCGAGGGTTCCCCCGCCCGCACGCCCCCCACGCACTCACTCGGGTCTCCGCGGCGGCGGGGCGGTTCAGGGTGGATTCTCCCTTCCAGGGTAGTCCGGGGCGCGGTACGGTGGTCGTTCTTTCTTCCTTCCCGGGCGCCGCCGGGCCGGAGGCTGATGGGTCTTTTTCTTCGTTGAAGGTTGGGAGCAAGGAAGGGAGTTTGGGGCTATGATTCGCAATAATAATTCTTTCAGCTTTTTGGAGGTCAGGCTCGGCCAAGGGGGGAAGGAAGGCGGGCGGGCCGGCCGGCGGCGACGGCGCGGGGATGTCGGACCGAAGGGCGGCTCGTGTCGCAGGGCGGAGGACGGTCCGGGCTCTGGCCAGCGGGCGGTCCTGCCCTTCTGGCCCCGCGTCGCCCGAGCCACTCGCTTCTCTCCGGCAACGACCCGCACCTTCCCGCGCCCCGGCCCGAAGTGAGCAAAGTCAATGAAAAGTTTCACCCTTAGCAACCCTGCGCATGGATCCGGCTTCCCCACCCCTGCGTGATGCGTCCCTCCGCCCTGCAGGGGCGGGGCCGGGCGCCGAGCCGGGACTACTTCTCAGCACGCCGGGAGGCCTAACCCCTCGCGCAGCGCGGTCCGAAGCTCCGTGTGCCACCCGGGGGTCCTCCGCGACCCCCTTTCGCCCGCCGTCCCGTGGCCGGCCTCTTCTCACTCAGATCCCAGCCCAGACGCCAGCAAAGCTGCCTTTGGCCGGCCTGTAACGCTGTCCGCTTCCCCACCCCATCACAGCGCCGTGCCACAGTTATTTTCTTCATGCCCCAGATCACTTTGAAAGTGTGCTTATTGGGTACAGTGTTTCTCCCCAGGTAGACAGCGAGCTCCGGGAGGGCAGGGGCCTGAACTGGAACCAAGTTGTTCACTTCAGACGTGTTGGATGAATGGATGTCGCGGGGAGGGGTAACTCTCTCCCCCCAACTTCCGTGGCTTGGGCCCTACACCTGCCCAGGCGCTGACGGTCGCCCGACCCGTTACTCCAGAGCACCTTGACGAGTCCCTCCGGGTCTGGGCGTCTAACCGTCCGACCACCCCCCACGGCTCTCGCACCGTCCCAGTTACTGTCCTTTGACGGGACTGCGCGAGCTTTAGAAACGTTTTGCTCCTACATTCGGGCTGGCTTGAGTCTTCCCAGCGCCTCGGGCCTCGTCGGGGGATGCTAATGTCGAAGGGAGGGCGAAGGGGAAACCGGGGCCAAGGCACACTGAGCAGGAGGCAGGGGAGGCGAGGGAGCCTAGCGCCACGTTAACCTTCCACTTGCCGCCTCTGGCCCCCAATTACCTCGCGACCGGAGAAGGCCAACACCGGCTCCGCGCAGGCGCGCGAGCACGTCCCCGGCCCGCCCCGGGCGGGGCTCGGCCCTTGTGGGGATCCTCCCGTTTGCTTTCTCCCGGCCGGTGACCCTTGTACTGGGCACTAGAGAGAGCCACATTTCTTCTATTAAGAGCTCCCGCCGGCGGGGCTTGGAGCCTGCCCATGTTAGGGGTGCCGGGGTCCCCAACTCGACGGTCCCTTAGGCTGCAAGACCTAGCTGGGCTTCCTGGCCCTGGATGGGGTGCGCCAGGCCCGCGCGCTCGGCTACTTTGTGACTGCGGGGCGTGGAGTTGGGGGTAGGGAGGCTGTGCCCAGGTGAGGTCACAGGCGGACTGGACTGCCAGGTGGCGAGATCCGGGGCCTCTGGAAGCTTGCGCGTTGTCGTCTCCCCAATCGCCCATTCCCCAATTTTCTCCCCTCCCCCCAACCTTTATTCTCATTCGAGACGGTTCCAGCCCAACGGCAGTCACCGAACCCACGTGGGGTGGCGGAATCCAAAAGTTTCCAGCTACGAACAGTTTGCATTTGTTTGTTCCTTGATCACTTTTTTTTGGCAAGGGCAGAGACCAAGGTAGCGTGGGGGGGTTAAAACCGCTTTCCTTGACTGCAGCAGGAAGACGCCGGACTGGAGGGCAAACTCCAAGGGGACAGGGAGGCGGGAGGGAGCCTGAGCCCGAAATCGCCCCTCCTCCCCCTCCCCCAGCGCTTCAGCCCCTGGGGCACCTCCAGGGACTACTTGCCTCGTGCGTCAGCGAGTGGCAGAGCGTCACATATACGCCCCCCTCCGTTTTGCCCTACTCCACTCCTCCCCTTCTTTTTCCTCCCTCTCCACCTCCCTCCCTCCCCATCTCTTCCCACTCCTCCCTCGCTCTCCCCTAGCGTGTTCCACGCGAGCAGAGGGACCCGGCGGACCCACAGGGCTCCAGAGCACCGAAGAGCTAAAAATATAACGGGTGTGCTAGCAACAGCCTTCCGATTGGTCGGGGAGCAGGGAGAGGCGGTATCTGATTGGGTTTCCTTTCCAACAGCTAGGATTAAGAATGCGGGCCAAGAACGGAGGCGCTCGGCCCAAGGGGACAGTGTGCGTTTGCGCAGTGAGGCATTGCAAGGGATGCTGGTATTTGAAGTTATTCATTAGAGGCAACCTTGGAAATAGGTGGGTTTGAATCCCAGTTCTGTCTGTCCAGCAACCTTGTTAAACTTGATTTAATGGCAGCAAGTCTGTTTACATCATCAAACCTGCTTTCTTGTTCTTAAAATGGGGATCGTGTGGAGATTAAATATGATACAGTGTATAAAGCTTGGCTCAAATAGTTGGTATACTTAATTTAGAGGTAACTGTTCAGGGGGGACCTAGGTGGCTCAGTGAGTTAAGCCTCTGACTTTGGCTCAGGTCATGATCTCACATTTGTGAGTTGGAGCCCTGCGTTGGTCTCTGTGCTGACGGTTCAGAGCCTGCAGCCTGCTTCGGATTCTGTGTCTCCTTCTCTTTCTGTCCCTCTCCTGCTCACGCTCTGTGTCTCTCTCTCTCTCAAAAATAAATAAACATTAAAGGTAACTGTTCAGGCCAAACTGCATCCTACATATCCTGTTCACAGTTAGATGTGCATTCCCCAACAAGAAACCCTACTATACAGAATGAAGAGAAAAAAAGGTTAGGGTGAGCCGAAATGAACAGTCCTAGGGAATCTCAGAAAGGAGAGATGGAGTCCATATTAGCAGATTAAAGGTAGACGTCTCCTAACATTTAAGTGCAGGCTGAGGAAGGGCACAGTGAATCCCTGGACAGAAGGCGTTACTTTCTGCGTGTTCCAGCTTTTATTCTAATCTCCCCTGCAGTGCTGGAAACACACCAGGCCTGAGCAATTTAAGTGAACAAAACTGAGAAATCCAGCCTCCTTGACAATTGAGAGCCCTGGGTAAAAAGGGTTGGCATATAAATAGGAAGAAATAAAATAGAGGAGCAAAAGGTAATCACCATTCTTTACTGCTGATGGCTCCATTTGTCGTGTGAGTTGGAGGAGAGAAGGACTTTTTCTCTCCTCAACGTGTGATTTCATCTTGCCAGGGCTTAATTGTGAGCTTAATTCCTACTCAAGCATTCCACAGTCCCCTCCCATTTTGAATAATCATACGTTGCAAGGTACACACCACGGTTTCAAAATGGTGAGCTTCAGACGCAACCCCCTGGTCTGAGAGTAAGCAAGTTATACCAGATGTTTTGTTGCCTTGGCAAGTCAGGCTGGTTAATAATTAACCCCAATTAACTCTCAGGGGTGAGTCACTCTCTCGTACACACATGCTAGGGTGAGAAATTTTGTAGTTACTTTTATGTTACCTAAGAAAATATTTCCTTAATTTGATTTTTCAGATCCACTGCTCCAGCTGGGCAGGAACAAAGACAACCACAACAAAACTGACTTTGGAGAAGTGATTGGATGCAGGACAAAATGATTTGCTATTTATTCACCACCAATACGTGAGTGAACAAACCTGGCCTTTGCTAAGACACTAAAAATTCAGAGTTCAAAGAAAGTAACATTTTAGTCTTGGTGGTAACAGGCCACTCCGGATGGAGTTGATGAGCAACCAAATAGCTGGGAAAAGATGGGAATTGGAATCCTTTTCTTAAGGCAAGAACATTTCTATCAAGGCAAATAATCTTTCACCTTTATACCTAACTTCAAACTACAACTAAAAACCTGCAGGTCAGAATAGAGTGACACAGTTTTTCTGAAATGTAGACAGTTCAGTTTGATTCCCTGGAAACTTTTTCTTTTTTATTTCCAGTATAGTTAACATACTGAAGTTAATCTTCTTAATTTAGAAGCTGCTAATTGGCAGGCCAAGGTCCACATCTGGTGGATATATTGTCTTGGTGTGTACTGACACATTAAAATTTTTAAAATGAGTTGACATTTAATGGGCAGCTGGGTGGCTCAGTCAGTTAAGGGTCTAACTTCAGCTCAGGTCATGATCTCCAGGTTCGTAGGTACAGAGCCTGGATCCTGTTTCAGATTCTGTGTCTCCCTCCCTCTCTGCCCCTCCCCCGTTTGCTCTTTCTTTCCCTCTTTCTCTCTCTCAAAAATAAACATTAAAAAAAATTATGAGTTGACATTTAAAAATTGGGAGATGGCACAAAGATTTTTTAATTTGCCATTTGTCCTAAATTCAAAGGATCTGGGCATTCCAGGTGGAAATTGTCCGGAGTTGAATAGCAGCTATCTCTTTTAAATTTTTTTTTTTTTCAACGTTTATTTATTTTTGGGACAGAGAGAGACAGAGCATGAACGGGGGAGGGGCAGAGAGAGAGGGAGACACAGAATCGGAAACAGGCTCCAGGCTCCGAGCCATCAGCCCAGAGCCTGACGCGGGGCTCGAACTCACGGACCGCGAGATCGTGACCTGGCTGAAGTCGGACGCCTAACCGACTGCGCCACCCAGGCGCCCCCAGCTATCTCTTTTAGACATGTCCTGTTCTCTGGTCTCCCCCCAGATTCCCCACACTGAGGCCAAGTGTCATAAATCATTTATCACCCTGTTTGGGCTATTCTTCTCACACCCCTCTTTTTTCAATCAATTATATTGCTTACTCAGACTCTTGAATTTGTGACCCATTTTTCAGTTCAATGTAATAAATAATTGAGTGATTGCCCTGCAGTGGAGGGAGAGGCAAAAGGAGTTCAAGGATTTTACCTAGTTCATTGTTGTGAACTTCTGGATTGGGATTCACGATCCATAAGTACGGTCATGCAATCACTTGGTTTAGTGGGTTTCAGGCAGAAGTTTTAGAATAGAATAGAATAAAATGAAAATATTGGAGCGTGTTTACACAGTAAACGCTTCATGAAACTTTTCTATGTATATAGTAGGCATGAATAGTCCAAGTGGGAGAGATTGTTGTGGGGTATGGTGTATCTAGAAGCATTCATGAGATGCCAGGAACTTAGAAGGAAGAGGTACCCAGTTGGATGGCTAATGTGAACGTGGAAAGGTATTTTGAACAAAGGAAATAGAGTCAAGAAGACAGGATATGTGCAAGGAATGTTCCTTTAACTGCCTGATGAAGTGCACAGAGAGAAGCAAATAGAGGAAAATCTTGGGGGTAGGGAAGAGGGAACCATTTTGAGGTCCTTCCATGCCAAGACTTAAATGTTTATCGATGAAAAAGTAGGATCCCACTGTAAAAGACCTACCATTTATATAAAGACTTCCCGGTAAGGGTAAGGAACTTACAAGGTCAAATTTCATCCTTACAATCTGAAGAGGTAGGCATTATTGTCCTTATTTAACAGATAAGAAAAAAGAAGCAAATAGAGGTTAAATGACTCACCAGAAGTCAAGAGCAGAGCACAATTCAAATACAGGTCTAATTATAAAGCCCACTTTATATTTCTATTTACACTTATTTCTAATTACACTTTTTTTTTTTTTTTTTAAGTAAGAGCACATGTAATAAGTGCAATGTTTAAAGGTGATTAAATTACCATGTGTAGGGGCGCCTGGGTGGCGCAGTCGGTTAAGCGTCCGACTTCAGCCAGGTCACGATCTCGCGGTCTGTGAGTTCGAGCCCCGCGTCGGGCTCTGGGCTGATGGCTCAGAGCCTGGAGCCTGTTTCCGATTCTGTGTCTCCCTCTCTCTCTCTGCCCCTCCCCTGTTCATGCTCTGTCTCTCTCTGTCCCAAAAATAAATAAACGTTGAAAAAAAAATTAAAAAAAAAATTACCATGTGTGTACAGTGTACTTGAGAAACTGGAAGACACCCATCCTTTCTAGAGCCTGGAATGAATATCAAATACTGAATAGATAATAGTAATGCTCATAAATCCAGGAAAGGGCACCACTTTCTCAGGCTGACCATGATGAGTTCTATTATTTCAACCAGACCTATGTAGGCAATGCTTATTTATTGATCTATTTTTTAGTTAGTACTTATTTAACGATGGAAACACTCAATTTTTAAGACCATTTTGATTCTTTGTGGACATACACAGTTGGCTGAGATCATTTTCTAGTTCTCGCCACAGAACTCTATGTTGTTAGAGGTTAAAATTCAGTTTGTAAGTGATGTTTTCCCAACAGAGAATTTGGTGCTAGCTATTATCCTAATTTTTAAAACTGAAAAGGATTTAGGGGCGCCTCGGTGGTTCAGTCGGTTAAGCGTCTGATAACTGGATTTCGGCTCAGGTCATGATTTTGCGGTTCATAGGATGGAGCCCTGCATGGGGCTCCATGCCGACAGCACGGAGCCTGTTTGGGATTCTCTGTCTCTCTCTCTTTTGCAAAATAAATAAATAAACTAAGAACTTTTTTTTAATTGAAAAGGACTTAATTAAGTCCAAAATAGACAGTAATTTAAGGATTCCAGCTCCAGGGCCATTTACTTTATCTCTGGTGTTCTTAACTCATTAATTGTATTGTTCTCTTGGCCTCTGAGAGGAAACAAACCAAGCATGGGATTATGGAACTAGGTGACAGAGAGGAACAGAGTTCAGCAGAATTCACTGGGCTAAGGTTGAACTTGCTCCATTCAGCAGTGGAGCATGGAGGGGGTATGCCCTTGAAATCCTTTGGGTGTTAATTGTAAACTTGCTTGCCATACCTCTCAGAGGCACACTTGCTGAGGCTGAAGGAGCACAGTTCAAGTGGTGTTTTGCTCAAATTAAGTAGCTTTTGATACATTTGTAGATGCAAGATGTTACGTGGACTGGAGTGGTTAATAAGCAAGTTTAAAAGGTTGGTTTTTTATCCAAAATATTTTAAACTTCTATTACACATTAAAACTAAAGGGACTATAGAATCAATACCCATTCTAATTATAATCTGAAAATGATCTAGTCTCTACAATGTTGACACACTGTAATCCCCCCCAATTATGTTTAGAACTGCTCAGAGAGCTCCCCAAGCACACTGCCCATTCAGATTGTTTCGCCAATACAGATGTACGTATCCACGGACCCCACCCCCTTTGCCTGTTAAGTTCCAATATATCCTTCAAAGCCCAGTTTATCATCTGGTTTAACTTTAACTATTCATGTAATACTGAGTACCTGCTACCTGCTGAGCCAGACAGACTTGGTTACTGCCATCAGGGAACCAGCCTAAAGGAGGACTGTCAATAATTACTAGACACTGTAATCATAATAATAGGGTGCTATGTGGGCATATTAACAAGAGGAACTGATTTAGATTGGGGGTCGGGAGGCATCTTTTGAGGAAATATTATCTAAGGTCTGAAGGATGTGTAACAGCTGAGCAAAAGGGGGACTGAGCATTAGGAAGCTTAATAGGTAAAAAGCAGAGGCAGGAAGGAAACCAGCAGAGGAACTGAAAGGAGGCCCAGGGGCTGGAGTGTGAACAGAGTGGCAGGAGGAGATGGGGAAACCCTTCAAGATTATTACCCCTGAGGTGCCCCCAACCTAGGCCAAGGACCCTTCCTTTGTGCACCCTCTCTGGGTTATTCTAAACTGTTTCTGGCAGCTTCCCTTATTAAATTCTCTGAAGGTAGAGATTATATTTTAATTCAATTTTTGACCCTTGATAGATCACAATTAATCAAGAGTTTTGTTGATCTAAATCAAAGCTTTGACAAGTAGTCAGAAGACTATCATATCTTTCCTTGTCTTTGCCACTAAATTTCAGTGTAACTTTGGGCGAAGCCCCTGCATTCCTAAGGACTCAAAACCAGTTTCAAATCCATGGTGTCAGGGGTGCCTGGGTGGCTCAGTTGGTTAAGCATCTGACTTTGGTTCAGGTCATTATCTCATGGCTAGTGAGTTTGAGGCCGGTGTTGGGCTCTGTACTAACAGCTGAGCCTGGAGCCTGCTTCAGATTGTGTATTTCCCTCTTTCTCTGCCCCTCCCCTGCTCAAGCTCTCTCTCAGAAATGAAGAAAACGGGCGCCTGGGTGGCTCAGTCGGTCAGGTGGCTGACTTCGGCTCACGTCATGATCTCGCGGTCCGTGGGTTCGGGCCCCGCGTCGGGCTCTGTGCTGATGGCTCAGAGCCTGGAGCCTGTTTTGGATTCTGTGTCTCCCTCTCTCTCTGACCCTCCCCCGTTCATGCTCTGTCTCTCTCTGTCTCAAAAATAAACAAACATTAAAAAAAAAAAGAAATGAAGAAAACATTAAAAATTCAAATCCATGGCATCAAAGAACACTTGACTGGAAGTCTCAAGTTATGATTGTGCCTTCATTTTTTTTTTAAAGTTTTTGAGTGAGTGTGAGGAGAGGGGAGAGGCAGAGGATTGGAAGTAGGCTGTGTGCTGACAGCAGAGAGCCAGACACAGGGCTTGAACTCACAAACCAATGAAATCAAGATGAGAGCTGAAGTCAAATGCTTAACTGACTGAGCCATCCAGGTGCCCCAGTGACTGTGCCTCTTTAGGATAACCTGCTGATTACCTCTAGCAGGCAGAAACACCTCTAGTCTTGTTAGGGTGAAGGATGCGTCTGAATTTCCCCTTATTCTGTTTATTTACTTAAAAAAAAAAAAAAGGAAACATATCCTTGATGTGAGTATATGTGGACTTTATGAAATAAATCAACCCTGTTCAGTTCTCTGAACTTATCAACTTGAACACATTTTGCTGGAAGCCATTTCTTCAGTTCAAGTTAAACAGGAAGAAAAATAAGTTTCTAAAAACAACTTTGATTTGCCTATAATGAAGGGAGTCAATGGTTTAGAATTCCTTCTGGTAGTAATAAGAGAACAAGGTGCTTCATGAATCCCCATGCATCTACCCTGAACTACAAATTCCTAGGTGACTAAAATAAATTCCTAGAGTCAAATTGGGACTGTGACTGAATACCAGAAAAGAAACACCTGTTTTATTAATACAACAGCAACAGAAAGGGTTTCCAAGTTCTTAGAAGAATAACATGAACAGGCACCACCTGCTAAGCGTTACAAGATTAAATGCCCACACTGATTGTGGTGAGAGCTCCCCACCACACTGCAGATGCCTCATCGACGGCAGCTGCCATCAGAGCTGCTGCCCAGAACAGGTTCCTCACTGCGCTAGCTTCGTGGGCAATTCCTCAAACAAAAGACTGAAATGATGCGATTCCTGTTTCAGAAGCTCTTGGTGTAGAGACAAGATATCAATTTGGAAACCAGAGGCTTGTTTCTCGAGTTCAAGAAAAATCACGGACCAATCTATCAATTTTTCTTTGCTATCGTCTGCCAGAGTGCTCTGTGAAGATTTCTTTCCCATTCCCACCACGTGTCTGGGTAAGAGGAGAGGTGGAGAGGTGCCATTGTACTAACAGGCACTCAGGTGGTGCTCTGTGCTCCGCTCACTCTCTGCTGGTGGTAGTAGGTGTCTTTTCTGGCAGCTGCAGCAGCTTGGTGGGAGGAAAAGGCCACCCACTGATCACCTCTTCTTGAAGCCGTATTTTTTGCGTTCATAGAAGAGATCTGTCTTAGAGCTCCCCAAATTGACAATCTTTGGGCAGCCATCTCTCTGGAAAACAGAATAGAGAAGTTGTTAAAAGTCTTTGAGTCTGAACTGAACCGTTTGGTTCAGTAGGTTTAGCCATTAACCTTACCTGTTCAGTTATCCTATTCAATCTATCATCAAGAATTTATTAAATGTGCCCAGGGCCTGTCCACTCTCTACCTAGGGTGGCCTGCACTTACAATATTGGACTCTCAGGGAGCGTGGAGCCTGCTTTGGATTCTGTATCTCCCTCTCTCAAAAATAAACATTAAAAAAAAGAATGTTGGATTCTCAGCCCACTTCTGTTGCTAATCTGATACAGCTGAGGTAGAATTTAACTCTTAAGATATCCAAAGGGTTTTCAAGTGAGAAGACACAGTATTAATCATCTACAGATCAAGCTCTCTAGCTCTCCTCCCCTAGCTCAAGAAAGGGAAGAATACCACCAAGGAAAAAAAAAAACCTGAAGGCTTTAGGAAATAGTACTTTACATGTTAAATACAGTAGGAGAAAACTGGGCTTGATGTGTCCTTATGAATTCACTGCATTTGACACATGGTCTTGGGGGAAGAGTGTTCCTGTGCTAGAGATGGCTGTTGAAGCTCTATAATCTGATTTGTAATGACATGTTCCCCTGGCCATTTTGTGAGCTTGAGTGGTTTCAGTGAAGCCTCCGGGAAGCTGTGTTCTGCAGAAATGAGGACTCCATCAGTTGATCTGGGATGATGGGTAAGAAAACTGGGGGAGGCGTTAATAGAGAAAACCTTCACAGGTCTGATTTTATTAAACCCCTACATTAAAGGAGGTTGCTCCCTGTGACGATGGGCTTTAGAATGAATGAATTAATCAAGTCCTTAGACATCTCATTTCTAATTTAGTTGGTTTCTTTTTTTGGGGATCGATATAATATTGTACAAAAACCTCTAGGGGCGCCTGGGTAGCTCAGTTAAAGCATCTGACTCTTGATCTCAGCTCAGGTCATGATCTTGTGGTTCATGAGACTGAGCTCTGCACTGGGTTCCGTGCTGACGGCTAAGAGCCTGCTTGGGATTCTCTTTCTGCCCCTCCATCCTCTCAAAATAAACAAACATTAAAAAAAAAAAAAACAAAAAAAACTCTAAACATGCAAAGGCAACACTAACATCTGATTACTTTCTAAAAACTACATAGCATATATTACCCTTAAGAACTACCATCTGGGGGGTGCCTGGGTGGCTCAGTCGGTTAAGCCTCTGACTTCGGCTCAGGTCGAAGTTTCCCTCTCTCTCTGCCCCTTCCCTGCTCATGCTCTGTCTCTCTCTCAAAATAAACATTAAAAAAAAATTAAACAACAACAACAAAACTATCATCTGAGTAGCTTGTGTGTTGAGGGAGCCTGGGAGGGGGCTCAGCCCCACCAACAGTTCCCTAGGTGAACTCAAGCTATGTAATCCGTATTCAAAGTCCTTGTACAAATGAAGGAACAGCTGCCCCTCACGGCTGAAGGTCTGGTATTACATAGGATAGTGCTCTAAGCTATCTTTAGAGATGCTATGACGACAGCCTGGTTAGGCTTACTGTGCCTAAATGATTTGCATGACTGTGGGCAAGTCACTTCTCTTTGGAGTTGTATTCCCCAACTGTAAAATAAGTGGGCCAGAGCAGTTTACAAACTGCTTTACAAACTGTTTACAAACTACAGAGAGCCCCAGAGAGTCCTGAGAGGTGATATAAGAATCCATCCTCCAAACTGGGTAGCTCCATTCTCACTTGTAGTTTAGGTCAAGATAGTAGGCTCTGGAGCCAGGCTACCTGAGTTTTGGTAAGTTACTAAGTATATAATCAGCCCTTGATAAATCCTAAGAAACTGCCAAAAACAACTATCAACAATTTCACTATGGTTCAACCTAACACACACACACACACACACACACACACACACACACACACACTCTCTCTCTCTCTCTCTCTCTCTCTCTCTCTCTCTCTCTCTCTCTCGGCTTCTGTGTAGGATACTTAAAAAGATTTTTTTTTTTTTATTTTTAAGTAATCTTTATATCCAATGTGGGGCTCAAACTTACAACCCTGCTATCAAGAGTTGTATGCTTTACTGACTGAGCCAGCTAGGTACCCCTGTGTAAGATACTTTTAGAAGATAGGACTCTATGTATTAAAAAACAGTTGGAGGGGCACGTGGGTGGCTCAGTTGGTTGAGCGTCCTACTTCAGCTCAGGTCATAATCTTAGGATATGTAGGTTCGAGCCCCGCATCGGGCTCTGTGCTGACAGTGCCGAGCCCGCTTAGGATTCTCTCTCTCTTCCTCACTCTCTGCCCCTCCCTTGTTCACGCTCTCTCTCAAAACAAAACCTTAAAAAAAAAATTTAATAAAAGTTGGAAAACCAATGTACTAGATTAAGAGATCTTTGATTTTTATGGACTTCTCTTCACAGACCCACAGGTTTCCTGTTTTGTTGCCTAAGCACTCCTGCCTTTTATTTTCTATACATCTCCCAAGGGTCTAAATGTTGTGTGAGATGAGGATGTGCTCTCTGTAACTGGCTGGCTTTTGCTGAGTATGCTGTGAATGAACAGCATGAAGAGGAAGATGGAAGGACTGGTAAGAAACCTTAGAGGTTGAAACAGTATTTGTTTTGTGTATGTGTATGTGTGTGTGTGTGTGTATAAAATATTTATTTATTTTTGGAAGAGCGCAAGCAGGGGAGGAGCAGAGAGAGGGGGACAGAGGATCTGAAGTGGGCTCTGTGCTGACAGGCTGACAGTAGCAGGCTTGATGTGGGGCTTGAACTCACGAACAGTGAGATCATGACCTGAGCCAAAGCTGGATACTTACCTGACTGAGCCACCCAGGTGCTCCTACAAGTATTTGTGAGCTGAGCTAGAAGGTATTTTAAAAATACCTGCAAAAGTCTGCCAGTAGCTCTTTTAGCAACCGCATGTCTAAATACTAAAAATTTCACCCTTTTTCAGCCCTTCCAGAGGATTGGCAGATTTCCCCATTCTTAGCATAGGGAACTTTTAATTTTAGGCAGCTGTAGCTTGAATCGTAAATACGTCTTATGGCCATTTAATTTCTAAAATTTCATTAAAAATCTTGGGGCGCCTGGGTGGCTCAGTCGGTTGGGCGTCTGACTTCAGCTCAGGTCATAATCTCACCGTCCGTGAATTCAGGCCCCGTGTCAGGCTCTGTGCTGACAGTTTAGAGCCTGGAACCCTCTTTAGATTCTGTGTCTCCCTCTCTCTCTCTATGCCCCTCCCCTGCTCATGCTCTGTCTCAAAAATAAATTAAAAAAATAAAAATAAAAACTTAATGGGGCGAGGGTCAGAGGGAGAGAGAGAATCCCAAGCAGGCTCCATGCTCAGCACAGACCCCAGGATCATGACCTGAACTGAAACCAAGAGCTGGATGCTCAACCAAGCCACCCAAGTGCATTTTTAGATTTTATTTTTAAGTAATCTCTACACCCAATGTGGGGCTCACGCTTACAACCCTAAGATCAAGAGTCGCATGTTCTACTGACTGAGCCAGGCAGGTGCCTGTTTTTTTGTTTTTGTTTAAGTAAACTCTACTGCCCAACGTGGAGCTCAAACTCAGGACTCCAAGATCCAGAGTCTGCATGCTTTACCAACTGAGTTGGCCAGGCACCACAAATGCTGTTCATTCTTTTGACAATTGTTTAGTCAATACCATGTAAAAAGCAGACTGTACATTGGTTTGGGACCTTAACGATAGTGTCATGTTTTCCTTCGGAAAGACCTTCAATCTCTCAATAAATGTATCCATGAGGTAATAAGGATTATTACTTCCTTTTTGGAGAATTCCACAAAGTCATCCACATTTGTAGCAAAGACTTGAATATGGGCTTTCTGTCTCTTAGTATGGTGTTTTCACTACTAGGGTTTCCCAGAGGCAACAAACCCAAAACTTTCCCATGTTTAAGAAGTTGTAAGGAAGTAAATTTATGAATTAACTTTGAAAAATATCAACTATTTTTAATCAGTCTAATGGGCTCTGCTGTTCAGTAAGCGGAACAGAGAATAGTAGAAATAGTGAGAGGAAGAGGCATCCTTAACCACACTGAGAAGAGTAATGCAGTGAGGTGGTTTGAGTGAATGCTTTGAGTTTGACTATCCATTCTCAAAGGGGATGAAAGCATCTTCGATATTTACCAGGGTTTGTGATTTAAAGTTCATCCTCAGCCAACAAAATCTCACTTCTCTTTTTAGGAAAAAAATCATAATTTGAATTTTAACTTTTCTCTTTAGGGGAGCAATAATGAAACAAAAAACATGAGAAACATGGAGTCAGATAACCTGGGTTCTAGTCCTACGTCTGCCATTGATTAGCCATGTGACCTTGGGCCAAGTTGCTTAACATCTGGAAGCCTTACTTTTTCTTGTTTTTATCACAAAGAACTTTTGGAAAAGAATGTTTAGCATAGTTTGGGGCACACAGGAGGAGCTCTACGAATGTTAGCAGCTATTCTTATCTTCTGGTTGGGAAAGCTGAAGAAAATGGTTAAGCAAAAGGAGCAAAGAAATTGAGGGTTAAGCAGGGATCAGATCAGCATGATGCCGTATTATAAGAGGCTACAAATTAGTCCCCTGGCAGCAGTACCCACAGATATTCTCCCTAACTCCTGCCTATTCTTGAAGCTGAAAAACTAAGTGAGAAGAACCTGTCTAGTTTACTGGTCTAATTCGCTTATAAATTATGAAAACAGCAGGAAGAGGAGTATAATAACTGGGGTTGCTTTGGTTACAGAAGGATTTCTGCATAGGAAAAAGTCTTAGGCACTTATCTACACAATGATCTGAAAGGCTGAGAGGCTGGATCATGTCACTGGACTGCTTTGTGTTCCTAGGAAACTACTGCCGAGTATATGTAAGCTAGGCGCTATCTCAAGCATCCTCAGAACATTCCTGTACGGTATGAAGTAGGCGAAGTGATGTCTACAATAATCCTCAGGAACAGAATGAAGCATGAAGATCCAAAGGTATCGATCAGTTAACATACCACATGCAGAGAAGTCAGACAGTAATTAACATTTATTAGGCACTCTGGTTACACTAGCTACAACAATGCAAAAGTTCAGGAAAATGTTGTCCTTAAGGACTCTGTAGCTAGTTTAAGAGCTGTTCATACTGTCTCTTCACTGCTGTTGCCTTTCCATGGTTTTACTGTTTATAAATTACAAATAATTACCAAACACCTACTATATACAGACACAGAGCACTCCTATGAATGACTTACAAGGGAAGCACCAAAAACATGGACGATGCTTATAATATATATCAAGCACTGTACCAAGAACTCAAGGCAAAAGATAGATAAATACCTAAACCAAGGTCCTTTCTTTAAAGCAGTACAACCTAGCTGGTGCATCAGATCGATAAGGATATGCTTTGAGAGTCAAAGGTAAATGCAAATCAGTTTAGGACAGGACACCAACTGAAATTATATTTTTGGTATTTTATCTATGACCTTTCTCATCTCCCTAAAAAATCAGAAGACATAATGATAAAAGGAACAGTCTTATCTGGCCAGGTATGTTCCACTTCCTGGGAGTAGACAGGATCCAAATATGTAGACTGCCGGGGAGGCTGGATGTTTCTACTCAAAATAGGCACATCCTACCAGAAGGACTTACAAAAGGATGACAAGGTATAATGGGGACATCACTGGGTTTAGTCAGATAGGCTGTTTGTCACTTATTGTCCGAGTTAGAGACTGTAAAATGGGGATAATAACAATCCCTACTTAACAAAGTTGTTGTGAAGAATAAAGAATGACAGGGGAGCTTGGGTGGCTCTATCAGTTAAGTGTTCGACTTTCGATTTCAGCTCAGGTCATGATCTCATGGTCTTGAGATGGAGCTCTGTTTGGCTCTGAGCTTGGTGTGAAGCCTGCTTAAGATTTTCTCTCCCTCCCTCTGCCCCTCCCCTGCTGTCTCTCTCTCAAAAAAAAAAATGAATGACATCTATAACTACCTATTCTTTGCACGTGTGAACATTAAGAATCATGGTATCTTTTGCTTTACCCTAAATTAGGTATCCAGCTACCTTCTATTAGCTTAATGGTACTATTATCACACCTTTTCACTGTGCCGTAAGAAGAAAACAAGCTAATGCACAGTCCCCCATCCCCCTAAGAAGCCTTCTGCCTCCAACCTCAACAAAAAGAGTAAAACTTGCCTTTAGTATAGATCTACAAGCCCTCTATCCTAGCATTTGGCTAAAGAAATTGAATGTCCACTGCCACCACACAATGTCAAGGGGCAAACATGTCACAAGACTGAATGACAATTCTGTAATAACCAAAGGCATTCTTTAGCCAGTTAAAGTGGAAATCAACACGAGTTGTCCCAAATTCAACTGTCACCACATCCACTCTAATAATTTTTTCAACGTTTATTTATTTTTGGGACAGAGAGAGACAGAGCATGAACGGGGGAGGGGCAGAGAGAGAGGGAGACACAGAATCGGAAACAGGCTCTAGGCTCTGAGCCATCGGCCCAGAGCCCGACGCGGGGCTCGAACTCCCGGACCGCGAGATCGTGACCTGGCTGAAGTCGGACGCTTAACCGACTGCGCCACCCAGGCGCCCCAAATTTTTAATGACAGTAAAGAGAATTACTTAGTATATTACACACTATGTACTGTGCCAGGACTCACAAAGCGCAGGATGTTGTTTCTGAATAAGAATAATCAGAGAGAGACATCAAAGGAGTAGAGAGAGGGCTCTCCAAATTGCTGACGTTGACAAAGACTTGCTTCTTTTGCATTTTAGCCCTTGATGCAAAATAACTGCCTTTTATTGGACTACAGCTAGCTCAGCTCCCAGAACTTAATGAAATTATAACCTACGTGACCAGCTCAACATAGTAATCCCAACAGACCACAGGTGTTTGCCATCGTTGTCAAAGAGTTACTAAATAAAAGCAGCAAAGATCAGATGAAAATCTTGGTATACACTCACATCCTTCTCTTGGATGGTGCACTCCTTACAGTAATATGCATCAGACACTCCAGGGCCTCCACAGATCACACAGCGCCCTTGGTAAGAGCCATAATTGCACTCATCACATATGCGCACCAGAGTGCAGGGACGCACGTAGGAGTCACAGATCACACACTTGCCATCACCTGTGAGAAGAGAGAATGGAATTATGCTCACTTGCAAGTACCTCCTCAGGTCTACTGCCCTCCTCCTGCTGTGGGGATATACACTAGTATCCACCTGAGAGTGACTTTAGGACCCTCTATTTTGGCCAACTCACAACTCAGTGTCCACCTCAATCCCCTCAACACAGAAATTCACCAACCAATATATAACGAACTTAGAACATCACTTGGTAGACGGTAAGTCTGTATGACTCCTGGTAAAGAACCATGTGTGTGTTGGGACGGGGTCAGGCTATCTCCTGTCCAAAGTCAAAGATTTTTCTCAAGACCTAACCCTGTTTAAAACGCGCGAATTAGAGTGGTGAGGTGGAGAGGGCCTTCGGTTGCAGCCTAGCTTTCAGTGTTCACATACTTCCAGGCACATCTACTCAAAGCCCTCTTTGTGGCACTGATGGAAATGCCCACTGGCTGGCTCTACACAAACTGTGAGGGGGGAGGAGTGGGGTGTTTAGGAGGGCGTGTTCCACTCACATTTCTCACACAGTCTTCCGATAGCTGCAAAGGCAAAGATGGTACAGTTAGAATTGGCTTGGACGAAGAGGGGAAAGACATCTTCGAGCAAGGGCTGCAGTGAGCCCCGAGGGACCTTAACCATCTTACTCTCATAAGCTTCCATCCGAAGCACACCCACACCCTCCTGAGGCCGCTCCCAGGACCTAGGCAATCTGAGTTTCTCCTGACCTCACCTCGGCCGTCCGCCTCTGGCTCCCAGCACGCGCGCGCCGCCCTCTTTTGAAGAGGCGGCAAATCGGCGCGCTCTCACGCTACCGACCGTGAGGCGGAAAACGTGGCGCCTCCGAGGCAAAACCCTAAGAATGAGATGGCAACCTCCGACCCCCGGGCTCTTAATACTGTCCCCACCCAGACACCCGGGGGCCAGAAGCCGCCTCACCAACACCAGCCTGCTTGCGGCAAAAGATCAAATCCGGATGATGTTTAGCCATAACTCCGACACCAGCAGGCCACCGGAAGTTTAAGGAACTTCCGTCCGCCCTTTAACCTCCATTTTCCAGCCTCCCGGTTGCTGTGATTGGTCCTCCAGGCTTCACCAAGTTCCGCCCGCTCTCGCGCGATCAAAACCCTTCCGTTAAACAGGAGTCTCCGTCGTAGTTGGCGAGCCAGGTCCTGGCAGGGACGTAAAAGTGTTTTGAAAAAAAAAATGCCTTTCCCAGATATGGATGGAAGAGACAAGTGAAGTTTGTCCTTCCATAATACATCTTTGTGGCCAGCATTTACTGCCGCCAGTGTTTTTCTGCAGCTGTTTTCCTTTCAGGCCTTCGTCTCTAACGGGAGCTCCGCCCACTGCGCTCCCCGGGCTCTGGCACCTCCACAGAGGCCCCACCTTCACCGTTGCGAGTTTCTCTTCAAGCCACGCCCCTTGCCGAAAGCTTTAAATACGCAGTATTGTAAGTCATTTTCATGCGACCTCATCTTTGTCAGTGCACAAAATGGCGCCTTACAGTCTACTGGTGACCCGGCTGCAGGTGAGCCAACTCAGGGACCTCTGGGTTCACGAGGGCGGGGTACCTCCTACTGTGCCTGCGGCTGTGGGCGAGGCAAGGCGAGGCGGGCCCGACCTCCCGCCGACTTTTCCTGTACCCGTCCCGGCCGCGGGCCCAGCGCCGGTGCCCGCTCCTCCCGCGCCCGAGGTCAAGGCTTCCCCGGCTCAGCTCTCCCAGCCCTGGGAAGCGCCCGGTGGGAAGCGTAGGTCTCAGAAACGGCGGCCACGTGAAGAGTGGAGGCACCCCTTTCTGAGGACTTCACTCCTCTCTCGTAGGGTTTCTTTCCGTTCCTCAAGGTGAGGACAAGGTGACTGGGGGGCGCGGTCGTTGTTGAGTCCACTAGGCCCGGGGTCTGAAAGGCCTCACTTCTCATCTTCCGGCAGCAGAGACTTGTTAGCCGGCTGCATCTACGATTGTCCGGCCTGGAGTCTGGAGAAGAGATTAGTATTCTGTTCCTTTTAAGAGTGTCTTGCGGAACATATAGCCGAGAAGGCGAGGGGACCTTCCGGGCCCAGACTTAGTAAATAGTAATAACAAGATACTTTCTTCTTTGCAAGATTGCCAAGACTGTTTTCATTCCTCATGTTATTTGATTCATATAATCATCTGGTGAGATGATGATTCTCATTCCATAGGTGGCGAAACTGCTAGAAAGTAGGTGAAAGTTTCTGCTCTTTTGAGTGTCACCGAAGTGTTGTGGCCTGAGCATCTGCCCATCTTACCCTTTGGTTCTTGTTCTTGTCAGCCTGCCTTCACAGAACTTCTCTGGGCCAGAGTATGATCCTTCAGCTAATACTTGTACTTGTGAGAGTACCTGTATAGAATATTTTGAGCTCACAGTTAGTTGCTTCTCAATTACAAGGTGGGAGGATAAAGAGACTCAACGGTTTGACCTTGACTCTTCTGTTATGAACCATCTAGAAAATTGACTGTGATGCCAGATTTTTTTTCCCCCTTGTAACTTGACAGCACCAGGAAGGAGTTATATGCAAGGTTTCAATATCAAGCATGTGTTTTGTTAATAACAATCAAACAATAAAGTAGACATTCTCTGACAACCTTTACATTTTAACTTTGTGAATCTACTTTGAATCAAGTGGCACAACTTTGATGATAAAATTAAAGAAGTTATGTGCTGTACTCTCTCGGGAAGCATTGTGTTACTAGGGTTGTTATTGTTTTTGTTTAAGTCACGTTGCTGAAATTTAGACCATATGGTTTAAAGTGAAATCATCATTTATCTTAAATACTTCTGATCTCTCAATTCTGGGCAAGGACAAGGGGTTTGCTCTAATTGTTTTTTTCAGATTTTTTGATTCCCGAGGTTAACGTTATAGAAATACAGGTGGTTGTTTT